TTTACATTTAAATCGTAATTAAATAGTTAACAAAATATTGAAAAAACAAGTTTACTTTGCCTTAATATGTAAAAGAAATAACTTTTTAAATGAACGATAGCTTCATTTATTTATTTAATAATAGTAAAATAATTCCGAAATTGAAATTTTAATTAATATTTCGTTTAACAATAATTTTTGTGAAATTTTTGTAAATTAAAAAAAATTCAGTATAAAAGATGCATTTTTTCTGGGGGTTCAGGGCTATTCTACGAATTCGTAAATATGCCCATTATTATTTTTTTGTCCAGCTACTCCAGTTTAAAAAAAGAAGTTTCTACGATGAATAAAAGCCGAGATATTGCAAAGATTTACAGCGCGCATCAATTTGAACGGGAAAACGTAGTTTACGTCGTAAACTTTATTTTGCGAAAAATTCAAGTCTTAATGTTTATAAACAATTGCGGCTACGATTTTTTTTTTTTAATTCTTATCTTGGCTCCTGTTTGGTAGTAGAGGGTGCTTTTTTTTAAAAAAAAATTGTATTTTTTTGCCAGCTATCCATTGAATCTATTTTCGATGAGGTAGCATAAATAGCAACAATTTTATTCAAATTGTTTATAAGCGAAAAACGCACGGTTTTTTAATGCACAATTTGAGAATGTTAATGTCAAAAAAACGGTGATATTTTTTAATAGGTCGCTTAATTGCGTCTTTAAGATTACAATGACGCTTTCAGAATCATGTTTGATTGAAAATTAACGCCTGTACAGAGGCTTAAAGTTCATAACTTTTGGAGCCTCCGCTATAAACAAATAGAATTGTGCGAAAACTATTGCACCTACAGCGCCCACTTTTGGCACACTTTTAAAGTATGACAAAACCCTCAACTTGTCATAGGTTTTATAAAATTTTAACAATAAATGCGATAGTTATAAACAAATGAAAAAATGGGCACTTTTCTTGTTTTTTTGCAATAACTTTTTTGTTTATTAACCGATTTTAATTTAACAGGTCTCATTTTGTAGATAATTTTATGCCCTACGAGCTGTCTGAGTCACTTTTCGCTAAAATTGATGGTTTTCCCTGCAAAGTGAAAAAACTGTTTTCCTCACTTATTTGTTTAAACAGAAAAGTTGGCTAATCAAATTTTTTGACTCACGAGACGAGAGATGTCTCGTATTATGTTCCTTTAGACAATTTTACAATAACCTCGCGGATAGGACTTTTTTCGTTTCTTTTTTATTTTCGCTAATTTTCCTGGTGTATCAGTCCTGAAAAGTTATCGACTAATTCGGATCTTTCTCGTTCCAGGTCAGAGCGGTTCGACGCCTCTAGACCTCTTCAAATTCTACGTGGAGGACCTGAAGTCGCGTTTCCACGACGAGAAAAAAATCATCAAGGAGATCCTCCGGGAGAAGGACTTCGAGGTTAAAGTGGACACGACTTTCGACCAGTTCGCCACAGTCATCTGCGAAGATAAAAGATCTGCGACTTTAGACGCTGGGAACGTCAAGCTGACGTTCAACTCGTTCCTGGAAAAGGTAAAAGTAGATTTTAAACTGAAATTAATCTTGAAACATGTATATTTTTTTTTAGGCGGAAGTCAAAGAAAAGGAGCGTTTGAAGGAGGAGACGAAGCGACTGAAAAAGCTGGAGAACAACTTCAAGAACCTCCTGCGCGAGCTTAACGTAGACTTCGAGCTGTCGTGGGACGAAGTGAGGCCGAAACTGGAGAGCGAGAAGGAGTTCGTGGCTTTCGATTCCGATTCGGAGAGAGTTAAAGTGTACAAAGTAACTACTCGGTTCCCGTTCGGGGGAGCAAGCCGTTAACTTTGCTCTGTTTAAGGATTTCCAGCACGAGATGGAGGAGTCGTGCAGCCACCACCACTCGCGCTCGAAGAAATCCAAGAAGAAGAAGAGCAAGAAGTACAAGTCGTCGAGCACGAGCGAATCGGACAGCGAGAAGCACAAGAAGTCGAAGCGGAACAAGTCGAAGAGCCCCACGCCTTACACGGACGACAGCGCCGAGGAGTACCGGAAGAAAAAGTCGAAGAAAAAGCACAAGAGAAAAAGTCCATCAGTGAGTTATTACTAATCAGTTTATTTCCGAATTTTTTTTTCCTCTTTTTGCCTTTTTTTTGGTTTTGTCGTTCATTTTATTTAACTTATTATTGATTAGTTGGTAAGTTGTTCGTCATTAAACGTTAGTGGTACAGGAAATAGTTATTGATTGTTGATTTCTGTGTACATATGTCTAAGGACGGTACGATACGACAGATGAAAATGATGGAAGCGAGGCCGGGATGGTGAGGGACGGCGCGGAAAAGGTGGCGGTCGTTTGGAAAAAAAAAACAAATATTTCCCTACAGATTATAAAAAAACTGGACATAGATCGCGTCGATGGGAGACACAAGGCGTGGATATGTCTCGATAGTTGCGAGCTTGCGCTGTGTTCGTCTCTTGAACTTTAACCGAGATATTCGATTTATATTCGTTGTGATTCTTGTGAAATCGTGTCCAAAATTACACATTTTTTAGAGTATATCTCGGCCGTTTCAACAATTATCGAGTTTCGACTTGATATTTTAGAAATATCTCCCCAAAACGAAGACGGCAAGTGTTACTCGAAAAACACTCAGACACAGTCCAATTCCAGATACCAACTGAATTGCATATTGTTTAACAGCTTATAGTCTAATTAAATAAGCCTTTAAATCAAAATTTTGGTCAACTTGCCTGAATTTTTGATATGAGTTAGTTTGAGGTATGTTATAACAATAAGTGACAGTAATTTTTTGTTCAACCCTCGGCCAAGGGTGAAAAAAGATAAAACAAAGGAGTTTTCCAAGATAACTGGAAAGGGGCAAGGACTAGGAAAAAAGTTTCTTATAAAAGTTGTAAAGCATACAATTCTACATAAAAATCGTATCTTGACTTTTTCTTGTACTATTAAAATTATCGGAGTTTGGGAGGCTAAAAGTTAAGGGAAGACTTCAGAAATTTTAAAAAATCATAACGAGCAGAAAAACGAATAAATTTTGTAATTTTTTTTGCAATTTACTCTAAAAAAAATGTAAAGAGACACGTATCTTTTTTATCGGCAAAAAAACATATTTACGGGGTGAAATACACCCTCAAAGTTCGCCCCCCAAAACAGTTTTTTCAAAATTTCTGGGGTTCTAATCAATATTTTGAAATGAAACAAAATGGAAATTACTTATGATAAAAAACAAATATTTCGCAAGTGATTCCATGTTTGGGGGTGCTACCCTTTTTTTTATTTCAGAAAAACTATATTTTTTATTTATAAAAAAAATCATATTCACTCAAAAGGGCTTAAAAATATGACTTATGTAAACAAATTGACAAAATTAAATTGACCTGTTTCGGGGTTTTTGTTAAAATCTCTGTTTAGGGGGGTGAACAACAAATTTGAAATTGTTATAACTTTCTTATTAAAAATTAAAAAATATATCTATTTCTCTGAAAAGAAAGGTTACATTTTTTAGAGTAGATCGAAAAAAAAATGACAAAATTCATTCATTTTTCTGCCGCCCTAACTCTGTTAATTTTAATAGTACAAGAAAAAGTCAAGAGGCCATTTTTATGTAGAATTGTATGCTTTACAATTTTTATACGAAACTTTTTTTTCTAGCCCTTACCCGTATTGAATTATCTTGAAAAACCCCTTTGTTTTATCTTTCTTTACCCTTGGCCGGGGGTTGAACAAAAAATTACTGTCACTTATTGTTATTACATACCTCAAACTAATTCATATCAAAAATTCAGGCAATTTGACCAAAATTTCGATTTAAAGGCTTATTTAATTGTCACATTGCTCGATATGAATTTTTCGAATTTTAAATTTATTACGACGCTAATTATTTTTTAGAATTAAGCATGGAAATGGAAGGTTTTTTTATTTATTTTATTGTATTCTATCG